ACTTCTTCAGAACATCCCTTATCCGCATGAAATTTGATTTCATCTGAAGATGTTTTTCATTACTGGCAAAGTAGCAGTGTTTGATACACTCTACAGAAGGTTTTGTGGGCCACTGGACCAGGGCCTTCCTGACGCTGGTGCTGTTAGGCCCACACGTGTGTACAGCACTGACCTGGCACAATACGCTGATGGTTTACAACCTCTCACAGGTTGATGGGATTCTAAGTAGATTTCTTAGTCCCACCGTCCGCCTTCTTGACTATCCAAGTCACAGTAGGGTAAACCTGCCCTGCTCAATGTTACAAGTTCTTTTTTAACTTACAAAATAAAACACCCAGTTGAGGTATGCTTTAAGACTTTTAACATAAAACCACATGTTTAGTTCCTGCTTAGGGAAGAAAAGAGCTAAAAAAAAGTTCTTCTCTCACGCAGGTCAATAAGGGGCATGCTAATTTTGGTTCGGTATTTATAAATAACTTATCACTCAGACATTTTTGTTAACAGGGAAAGTAAAATGTTACAAGGGTCAATACCAAATACATGCTTGGGTATTCAAAGGAAGAATATTCACTTAGGCAAGTACTCATTGTTTTTATTTTTGTAAAGAAATGGGTTAGCTTTAGAATAGGGCTGTTCCAGACTGTTCAGAAGACAAATGAAAAGACAAAACGCAGGAAACATCAGAAAGAGAAAACGTAAGTATATTTAAAAGGCTTAATGAGTGCTTGCTTTCTGCGTGTACAAAATCATTTATTACATACCTGCAAGCGTACAAAGCCGTATTCACCTAACCACAAAGAGCCAGTGCTCATCAATGAACCAACCAAACTTTTACTTTCAGAACCGATCATCAAACACTGAAAGCGACGGAACAAAGGCCTCAGAAGTGACTTAATGCTACGTTAGGGTGCCACGGTAATTCTGAAAGGTTTCTCTTAACCAGTTTCGGTGTATTTACTTAAAGTGGCTTTGTGTTTAGCAGCAACAGTAGGCGATGCCTTCAGCCCCGTGGAGAAGAAACGACCCGACTCGCGTTCCTCTT